TTTATAAAGTTTAATATATTAACTATATCGTTTTTCTGTAGTTCAGCTTTTTGAAAAGTTTGGTTCGAATGATCGTCGGAAAGAGTTGATTTGATCTTGAATAATATTGCATATAAAAGAGATCCATTATTACATTAAGCTTTGTTCTTAAAAAAAAAAAAAAATTTAAAATTATACAACCTAAAAAATACACCATCATGCATATACTTTTAATTTTATTCTATTATTATAATGAGGAAAAGTAAAGATAAGGTCATCTTAGCTAGAAACTTGCATAATGATCAAAGAAAAATAATATGTGATCATTACCTTGCAAATCCAACAATCACTTAAAAAGAACTTGCAGAGTGGGCCAAAAATAAATTTAAGTTAGTAAAAGCCTCAGGCCAAAGCACAATTTCAGACATTTTAAAAAAAAAAGATAAGTTCAGTAAAATGTCTTCAAGTGACCTTGAAGTTAAAAGATGTCATGTTATTATGTTTTCTGAACTAGATACCACTTTGGTGAATTGGGTACTACAATGCGAAGATTGGGCTGTATGCTTAAATAATGATATGATTAAAGCCAAAGCCAAAAAATTAGCTAACCTTATAAAAATTCCTGAAAATAACCAGTCTGAGTTTTCAAATAGGTGGTTACAAGCTTTTCAAGAAAGACATAATTTCGTTTCTTCAGGTTGCATGATGAAAGTGGTTTCACAGATATTGATGCAATTAACTTAAACCTTCCTAATATTATTCATACTACTAATCAGTATTCATCTTGTGATATTTACAATATAGATGAGATAGGTTTATTTTATACTATGGCTCCTGACTGCACAATTGCATCTTACCAAATTGAAGATAGGGATGGTAAAAAAAAAAAACTAATTAATAATTTTAATATTTTTTAAATTGTTTTAAATTATGGTTTAAAATATTGATAATTGTGACAGCTAATAGCTAAACTTAAACCATTTTATTTTAAATACTTTCTGTCCATAATTGAAGAATCAAAACAAAACTGTACAAAAATTATAATTGCACTTATAACAAATACCAATGGCACCCACAAGCTTCCCTCTTTCATTATTGGGCATTTTAAAAAACCTAGATGTTTTAAAAAAAAACAAGAGAAGAGCTTGGATTCTATTATCACAACAACAAAAAAGTATAGATAACTACTCTGTTTTTTCAAGAATGGATAAGAAAATTGGATAAAGAAATAAAAGAATCGAACTATTACATTTTACTCATCCTTGACAATGCCACCTCACATATTACTTATGCTCTTATTCTCAACAATATAAAAATCCTTATGCTGTCCAAAAATGTAACATCAAAAATACAACCCATGGACACTGGTATCATTGCATCATTTAAACTTTACTATCGTTATATGCAACTTCAACATGCAGTTGATCGTGATGAAGCTGGTAAGAGAGATATATATAAAGTTAACCAACTGCAGGTAATAATATAAATTAATTAATTAGTTGGTCAAATTGACAACTAGTCACTCTTGATGTAGTCACAAACTACAAAACCATTCTATTTCTTAATCATAACTAACAATACTAACTAATATCACCAATATTAATTATATAATTCTCATTTACTATCTCTTTTCCTACTAATATATACATTGCTGATAAACTTATTATTAAAATAAGAATTTTTCCACACACCCATACCTAAAAAATTACATAATTAATCCTTTGGTCACTATATCAAGATCACAGAAGAATGCATTAATAATATTCTGATCTGTATATAAATAAGCAGAAACTTTATTTCTGCTAATTTCTCAACAGATTAGAATATTATTATTACAAATATCAACACCTTAACTGATTTAAAATTAAAATTTTTACTAATCTGTATTATTATTGTAGACTATGAAATAGACAAAAGTTGTCTGAAATGAAGTATCTGCTAAAACAATTATGAATTGCTAGTTATGTATAAAAGTTATATCTCTTTATGATAAAAATGGAGTATCTATTATCCCTTCTTCTGATGAAAGCATTGAAGACATAAAAGAAAACCTACTTGTTGACCCTAATGATGAATTAGTAGTAAAGAAACTTCAGCAGCAAATTAATGCTTTGGATGTTCATAATCCAATGCCAGTTGAAGATTTATTAAATATTAAAGAAGAACAAGAAGTATATCACCAGTTTATTGATGAAGACTTGATTTAGGCTGTTACAAAAATTGAACAGAAAGAAAATGAAATTGTAATACCACCTTTAACTAGAGAAGAACAATTGAGAATTTTACATAATGTTTTAAGAATTGTTGATGAGAGGATCGATAATAGTGGAGTAACAATAAAGTCCTTGTGCAAGCTGCAATTCTGTATTTATAAGGAGGTTCAAAAGGAGAAAGCTAAAAAACAAGTCCAACTTAGATTAGATTAATTCTTTAATGCTTAAACAAAATAGTTTTATATTGATCTTATTTTTTATAATAAAACAGCTAACAAAAAAAAAATAATTTTATTTTTCTATAAATTTCTCTATCAAAACGAAAAATTTTTAAATGAATAAAAAGCATTAGGTTGATAAAAGCATTCTAGAATCCTTTTGTTTAGTATGATTAAAAATTGCTTGCTTATCTTAATCTTGCATTGCAAACTATGACTAGTCAGTCTAATTGAAACCTTTCGTCTTAGGGTTTACTAATTTTCCTCCATAGTTCCTATTGAACGATCAAATAATGAAAATGTCATTGAAACAGTATAAAGGTCTAATAAAACAAATATATTACTAAAATTTTCAAAGAAATTTTTTTTGTTAGAACATGAAAGGTTATTTTGTAACTAAAATTTTAAGTTACCAATAATTTTTGAAAAGCTTCAAAAACTTTGAAATTTCATATTACATCCAATCTTATAATTTGATTAGTAGATGACAGGTGGCATAGTTTACATTGTCCAATCAGAAGTGATATTTACAACTGTTTAATTAGAATTGTAGTGAGAAATTAGGATCCCTTTATCTTGTACGAAGTGTAAAATTCATGATTTGATTGGTTTGTAATCATGTAACACAATTAACAAATCAGAAACCTGGCTATTTAGATTATTTGATATCAGAAATTGCAGATTATCAGATATGAAATAAGGAACAGACCTGGTGGATTGATATTTGACTGATTATAAAAGGATATCAGTTTTGACAGAATCAGTTTTAAGAAAGTTGACTGTATATACAAAATACTATACTGCATTCTATATAATAAAGACCAAGAAGAAGACCAAAAACACTTAGCTATATATAAAGGTCATGAAAAAGATTTGACCATTACAAAAAACTTAGCTATCAATTTGGCCTGAACAGTACTCTCAAAAGAAACTCAGAAGAAAACAAGCAAATTAGAACTAATAAAAATCTTATAAGGAAATTCAGCAGAAGAGAAAAAAAAATATAGATCCAAAAGCATGAAAAAGCTAATTTAAGAAAAAGCCAAAATATCTATGTGAAGTTTCACCCAAGCCTTCAAAGAAGCTAAAGAGTTTATAACAATATAACAAATGCAGCATGAAATAGTGTCTTTAAAAATATATAGAAAAAATGCTATAAAGCAGTTACTGATTGAGAAAAGACAAATAGAATTAGCTTTGCAGACAAAAAAAAAAAAAAAAGCAGTTCAAAAAGTAATACAGTAAGAAATCTAATAAAAAAAATAGATAAAAGAGTTTTAGAGAAGAATCAAAGCTAAGCTATAAAAGAAAAAAATAATATATATAAAGTTCTTAGTTAGGTTTGGTTAAAGATTATATAAAAAAAAAAGTAAAACCATTCTTTTATAGTTCTAATGGCTAGCTTGATATAGCCTTTTGGCCAGATTAATATCTGGCCAGTGCAGCAGACCACTTCTAGGCACTCATAAAAGCAGTTAGAAGATTTTGAGCCGAATTTAAGCCAATTTTGTACAAAATTATATATATAAGACTCTTAATAAAGATGATCAGCAGGGGTATGGCGACCTAGTGAAGTGGATAGGTTGTTAACCCCCAAGTGGCAGGTCTAGAGTTCAAATCCCAGTGACAGCGAAAATTTG